TAAGACTTTTATTCAGGTCAATCCCTGGAATGTTGAATCCATCTTTCTCATTTTCAGCATTACTGACCTTTGGAATTGGTTGTTTTTATTATGGAAGGCTTTCTTGTGTATTTCTTGTGCAACCACCATAGCTGCTACATCCATAATTCCTTGTAATATTCCCCTCATTTTGCCAACTAAAAATAGCTCTTGCCAAATGTCCCTCCTTGGGAAACAAAATCAACCCTAAGAATCACTGTGCTTGCCTATGATCACATTTCAATTTCTTTGAAATTCTTCAAAAATGATTATCTAAGGATCTATCTTATCTTATTACATGGTAACTAAATGATAAATGGAAGTGTGAAAGTATTGATGTATGTGCACATCCTTTTTTGTCTAATTTGAATACAAGCATTGCTGAATTGTTGGATATATATAGATGTATACATAATGTACACACACACACACACACACACACTTGCACATAGACCTTGATGTTTCTGAATCTCATGCCTGTTCTATGTCTGTTACAGTAAACATAACCATCTTGGTGTACATTATCACATATTTATGCCATCCTTGCATTTTTAGAAATAGAGACATTATTTCCTTATGTAACTCAAAGGTCAGGTATTTTCATGGCAATATTTGCTGGATTTAGACAGCATTTGATTTCTAATTTCCTCTATTACCTAGTTGTTGAGTGTTCAGAGTCTCACCCATGAAGCTAAATCAATAATGACATGATATTAATAATACTAATAATCTAATCATTTGATTGAGAATAGTAAATGGGTAAATGTGTGTGAAAGTATATAGTACACCAAAAATTTACTCAGGAATTATTTTTCTCAATTCTCTAAAACACAATGACTGTGTTATTAATAGCTAGAGAAGCCAGTAGCAAAAGATGTAATTTTCCCACTCCTGAAAATTCTTCATCAAGCAGACTTTTTAAAGTGACTTTGGAATATACTAATAAAAAGGCTTGAAGCTTTGTGATGTCAAAAACTTAAAGACCTTGGATTGAATTCCAGTTCTGATTTTATTTGGTGCCAGAATCCTAAAAGTCATTAACATCTTAGAAATTAAGTTTTCTTGAAAAAAATAAATAAATAAACTTAAAAATTCTTACAAATTTTGAAATATGGCAAATACATGGCCCTGTTTGTTTGTTTGTTTGTTTGTTTCCTGTATGGGAAAATGATCCAGAAAGACAAACAGAGGAAATGTGTTTCTATCAGGGAAGCCATCCCTAAGTATGTCAAGTGATTTATAAATGAGATTGTAAGCCACGGAGAATGAAAAAAGAACCTGGTGATACCAGTATTCAAAATACCGGGACTCTAAATTGAGCTGAAATCCTCCAGGTCAGAACAAAGCTACTAAAAGTGTCAGCCCTGCAGAAAAAGGGCAAGATGATGGTTCATTTCTCAGTGTGATCGGCAGCAGCTTTCAAGTGTGAGCAGCACAATCGGGACCTTATTTCTGTACATACTCACAGCCAAGCACTTGGATCTTCATTTTTATTCCAATGGTCACCTCCCTACAACTCTGTAAATGCTGTTCTCCACCAGTACCTGTCTCACCTCCTCCCTAGCTTCCTAGACTACAGAGGATTCATTCCCTTTAAAAAAAAAAAAAAAAAAAAAAAGTAAATGAGTTTGGCAAGTGCTAAGGAAGATGGGGGCAGAGGATGTATGCTTTTCCCATGTGGTTTTAAAGCAGTTGTGAAATGTATACTGAGAGTTTCAGGAATTCATGGTCCCTTGGATATAGTACATTAATGCTTTTCTTTATATGCTGATCTTAATATCTCTGTCACCATAGGAACAATGTCATAAGCTCTGCTTTTGGCATCTATCCAATTTCCTTTCAGCTCACAGCAAACATCTGCTATGACCCCTTGCCCAGAGGCTCAACTGTGAAGCAGAATTTCATGTGTGTGTGTGTGTGTGTGTGTGTGTGTGTGTGTGTGTGTTTTAAATAGGGTCTACAGTAAGAATTACTGGCATGGAAAATTTCTTCCTTGATAATCAATCTCAATATGAAACTGATGGCATAAGTTTGTTTTTAAATTAATCATTACTTGCTAAATCAAGTAGAAGTGTAAAAATACTTGTAACACATAAAATATATGAAATGACATTTTTTACGAAAACATGTGTATTTACTACTCAGTTCCCAAACAGCATTGTCTACAGGTCCAATCCTATAAATCCCTCATATTACTGTTTTAAAATACTTAAATCATTCATTTGAGGTGTTATTTTGTATGTTTTATATCATTTGCAGGTTTGCATATTTTTCAATTCATAAAAGAGACTCTGTATATTTTTTCTAGGACTTCTTTTTAATTCAAAATAATGTTTCTTATATTCCATGTTGTATCATGTCCTAGTCTACCCTTGATGAAGCTTGGCTTTTCCAGTTCTTACTACTACAAATTGCACTTATGAACATTCTTGTCAATGACATCCAGATTATGCAAAAGAATTTCTGAGGGTGTGGTTTTAGGAGTGCAATAACAGGATCATATGCTAAGTAGGTACACATTTAACATTTGTAGATAATAGCAAATCTCTCCAAAGTAAGAGTTCTAGTTTTCAGTCCCCAACACTGTACAAGTAGTGCTGATCCATATACTTCCACTGTTTATATTCAGTGGCTTTTTAAAATAAATTGAAATGGTATCTTATATGATGAGGATTTAGAATTCCCTTACGATTAATGACTGAGCACTCTTTTTTTTTTTTTAATGTTGCTCTTTGATTTCCCTTGTATGTGAAGAGACTATTGAACATTTTACTCATTTTTCTACTTGGAGTTTCTTTCCTATCAAGAACTCTTGATATGAAGATATTGTAGAGATCTTTGTTTATTTTGGAAATAGTATTTTGTGAGTGTTATATGTTCCTTATTCCCATCAATGGATCATTCTTTTGTGTTGTTTTAATCCATTTTTCTGTTGATGTGCACCTGGTCTAGTACAATAACTTGGCACTGTAAATTTTGTTGCTATAAACAAGGGTATGCATTCACTATAGAATGCTGACTTTAATTCCTTTTGACAGATACTGAGGAGTGGTATAGCTGGGTCATATGGTGACTCTATCCCTTTTGAGACACCTCCATATTTTCCACAGTCATAATACTAATTCAAAATCCCACTAGTAATGTAGAAGTGTTCCATTTTCCCCTTGCCAACATTTATTATTATTTGTTTTGATGATTGCCCTTCTAACTGGATTGAGAAAAACCCCTCAGTGAGGTTTTGTTTTGCATTTCCCTGATTGATAAAGATGTTGAACATTTTTTTTATATACTTGTTGGCCATTTGTATTTCTTACATTGAGAAATGTCTGTTAAATTTATTTGTCAACTTACTGATTAATTGGTTTTTTGTTCATTTTTTTTTAGTTATTTATATATTTTGAATATTCGTTCTCTGTCAGAAGAGTAGCTGGCAAAGATTTTTCTCTCATTCTGTAGGGTTTTGCTTCACATTCTTAATTGTTTATTCTGCTATGCAGAAGCTTTTAAATTTATTGTCATTCCACTTACTGATCCTTGGCTTTATGACATACATCACAGAACTAAAAATAAACAGTTTAATATGAATAAACTCTTTTCAATAACTTCTATTGAAAATTCTATCTTTTCCCATTAAAACATATGAGTCATAATAAATCAGGCTTCCTCATATGCATGTTTTAGAATCTGGTGTCTCTATTCTGGTACATGGGTCAATGTTTATATTATCTTATTGGTGTCACAGTGTCTTACTATTTTATTTTCTAATAATGACCTCAACCCCTCCCAATAAATTTCTTCGTTTTGAGTGTTTATTCATATTTGATTGTTTCTTCTTCTGTCAAAAAACTAATTCTGGTTCTTTCAAGCAAGTAATTCAAGAGAGAGGTAGTGAAACTCCACTGGCTTTCAGGAGTGAGTCATGAGCTTTACACTCTGTCTTTTGGAAAGCACAGGTCACCAAATTCCACAGAGAAAGGGATTGAAGAGAGGTGTAAATACCAGGAGGTGAGAATCATTGAGAGCAACCTAGGAGTATGGGACTTTGGGCAAACACATAAATCACAGTAATTTTACATATTATTGCAAACATAAAGCTTTTGGATTTAAAAACAGGTATATTACAAGATGGATTTATATGTGAGATGAGAGTTTATATTTTAAAATATCTGGCTCAGTTTCCCACTTTAAAATTGTCTCTATTATAGAGAGACTGTAAAAAAATTCTTGACAGGATATATATTTCAACCCTCAAAAACTTCACTTTTAAGTAAATATCAATATTCTAATTTTAAAGTCAAAGAAACAAATTCAGAGTTCTCATGTTGCTTTTAAAATTTACAAAAACTTAAAGTGTCAGAAGTGGGGTTCTAGCTTGCATATAGTAGACTTCAAATCTCATGCACTTTGCAGATAGCAAACTGCCCCAGGTTTATGTCAGAGGAGTTTACGGGTATTCCCATATATCAGTACAGGGAATGTCTAGTTAGGTGTAAACTTTGTGAAGGGTATGCTTATTTGCTTTGTCCAAATTTCAAATCAATGTCAAAACAGCAAATATTGCTGAGAGTAATCCAGGTAAGGACTCATTCCTTCTTCAACAATATCAGAAGTTAGTTTTGCTCGGAAATTTGTAAGAAACAGCAAAATATCCAGAGAAATAAACATCACATCAGAACGGAAGGCAATTTTTTGTTGTTTGCTAGATGTATTTTAAATATATCAAATACTTATAATGGATATGCTTCTAGTCTAGTGGTTATGGTGTAAACCAGAATCTGTCTTTTAAGGGATTCCTGAGAAGTATCCTAATTTTTCTATGCTTACTCTTTCTCCTTTTTAAATTTGCTTTCTTTTTCACACTGATGCAGTGGCACTGTCTTGCTAATTCTTTATACAGTGGTTAATATGGGTGGGATTATACTGACGGAATGGAACATTCTTGTAAATGGTATTTGTGAACTTGTTTTTAGAAATAGCTTGTTATCGCTTCTCGGCCTTTTGGCTAAGATCAAGTGTAGAAATAGCTTGTTATGACAATTGTATTTCTGATGCCATGAAATGTGTTTAGAATGGATCCTGTGTTCAACAAATAATATCCTTTGTGATCAGGAATGATGCTAGCTATTCAAGTTATTTGCCCTTACAATTGCTTCCTGAGTTACATATCCAGATCTTTTTGCTTTTTGAGACAGTTGCCCAGGCTGGCTTCAAACTTGCAATCTTCCTGTCCAGGTTTCTTCTTCTTCTTTTTTTTTTTTTTTAATTTGGCTATAGAACACTATTTTTAAAATTTAACCTCTTTAAAAAAATACTTTATAGCACCAAAGTTTGACATTGAACTCTTTAAAACAAACCTTTTAGCTATGGGATGCTGGGGAAATCTAGTAAGTGAAAATTAAAATGATATTTGAAACAGAATGAAAATGCATTATACCCAAAAAGGAATAATATTAGTGACTAAGGAAATATTAGCAATAGTTTGAGATGCAGGAACTTTCAAAAGATGACTACTAAATAAAGTGAGACAAATTGCAACTTTTCCATTGGTAAGGTGAGTAGACATAAAATTAGTAACTTTATCAAATCCCTTTAAAAATCCCCAACTAATTCTATGTGGCAACAATTTATTCTTCCTTTTATCTCTCCTGAGTTATCACATGTGGTTATTTCATACAATTACCACATGAGTCTACAAGGAAGTCTGCATTTTAGTTTTAGGGTTTTAACTTTTATTGCAAATGTTAATGTAACATTAAAATTCAGCTTTAAGTTCCCAGGAGCAAGGAAATGCAAAGGGCAAGGTTCTCCTAATGTGATGAATTTGTTATTCTATATTAGGCTTCTCATTAGGACATGCATTTAGGTTTCCAACTTATAAATTAAAAAACATTAAGCCCAGTTCTCTCTTTCATGATTTTACTCAAAAGGGTGACCATTCTCAGTTATTATCTGTGACATAAACTCAGTGGTTTTGCTTTTTTTAACTCTGCATCCACAAATTACTTTCCTTTCCACTCTCAGAATTTCCCTGGTTCTTTATTCAGGTCATGTTTATATACTATCAACAAAACTAGTTCAGAAATTAAATATCTAACAAAGTATTTACTTTCATGTCAATGCAGTAACACATGTAATTCTGTCTATTGTTTATAAGAAGTCTATTCAACATAACTGCTAAGACCACTGTCTTTATAATAGTCTTTCTCCCCAAACTGACTTTATTGTATTTAATAATGATTTTATGCTTTTCAAAACACTTTATTATACTGAAGTTTGATCAGTAACTGTGGAAGAGACCAAAGCCTCTGCCTTCAGTATAAGTAAGCCATAGTTAAGGTCATAGACTTGGATGTTAAATAGATCCAAAATTTAAACTTCAGATGACTTGAATAGCCAGTTATAAGCCTTTGGGCAAGTTACTTTATCTTGACTTTCTAAGAAAAATCCTAGTAAAACATAATTATTCTGAATAACTACTACATTGGATTGTTAAGAGGTTTAAATAATTCAATACATGTGTTTGTGTAAAGACAGTAACTACTCCTTAATATAGACATATAATTAGTTTTGAATATATACACACATAGAAATACGTTAACTTTTACATTAACATTCTTCTGAATTCCTGTAACATTTACTGTTCATAAAAATGTTTATAATTGCTTAATTTTAACATGTTTTCTGTGTTATGTAATTACAGTTTAACATAATTTTGATCCAATAATATAGTTAGGTTCTAAAAGAATAAATTTTATGTTTTAGCACCTTTGGGCCATGAATATTCTTTCAGAGTCTATCATGAGCAAGTGTATGTATGCTTTGTAGGTATACTTTAAAAGTTAATCATCTTTAAAATTCAAAGTTGGAGTGATTTTCTATAATATACAATACACATGCAGATATGTATTTATAGAAATGTTTATACACATTTGAAAACAATGTAGTTTCTTGGGATAAAGTGTGTAGAAGTGTACATTAATATAATTAATACTATTATTAATAATAACAAATATTTATTAAGCATTATAAAGTACTGGGCACTAGCATAAGCACTGGAGGGTTATAACATTAATTAATTCTCACCACAACCTCATGGTATGAGAATATTATTATCTCTAACTTTTAATTGAGGCTACTTTGTTCAGAGATTATTGCCTAAGATTATGCAAAAGTCTTCCAGACTCTGTTTACTGGAGTTCTTGCTTCTCAACACTCCTATAACCACTTGAGTATATGAAGAATTATCTAATCCAATAGACCAAAGCCCAGCCTGCTTGGAGATTAGGTTTTAGACAGACTTGCTTCATGTAATTACCTAAATTAATAAATTAATTGAGGAATCAAACATGAATCAGACATTGTGAGCTGGAGTAAGAAGGTTGGTTTGTTCTACAATTTTTTTTAGTTGATACTTGTTTTGAAAATGTCTTACCAATAATCCTAAATATAAAAATATAAATGACTTATAATTAAAATATTGGGTAAATTCTCCATGATATTTTAATAATTCAAGTTCTTTATTAAATAATAAAATACACAATCTCAAGAAAGAAATAGCAAAATTGGAAGAAAAATTCAACATCAAAAATGATAGGAATTTTTTTGTTTATTATTTTGTTGATTATTAACTACTGCTTCATTTCAGCTCATTTCCAAGCCTGAATGAAACATATATTCTACATCCACCTAAAATAGGGATAGATTTTACCTTAATTAACTGCTCAATTGGAATCTGCCAATAATTGCATGTTTTGTTTCCAATATGTTGAATGGTATAATGGTATCAATTACTCTCAGTGTGTGTAAGGCTATAAAGAACCACCTCATTTTGCTAAAGATAAACAACTCTGTTTATTCCTCCTCTCTTTTTAACCCTTATTTTTTATCCATTGCCTAAGCAGTCTATTCCTTCCCCACACATATTCTCCTCTCCCAACTTTTACTAATACTGAACATTCGAATTTTAATGAACAGGTAACAAAGCAGCACAGTAAATAAATTTGATTGAACATATAGCTTCTTTCCAATCATGTTTAATCATATATCTTTCTATAAGAAAACAGCAAATCTGAACACAATTTAGATTTCTTTCATTCTGTCCTTCTTTCATGTTTAAAATGAAAAGGACATATTTAATAGCTATTTGACCGTTTCTTCAAATCTTGACTTTGCTCTTAATGTTAGACTGGTGTTTCTCAAACTTGGGGCTACAGTATTTGGGGCCAGGTAACCATTTGTGGTTAGGGCCTTTCTTGTATATTGCAAGATATTTAGTAGCATCCCTAGTCTCTGTCATCTGGATGACAGCAGCAGTTTTCTTCAAGTCATGACAACCAAAAATGTGCCCAGATATTGGTGAATGTTCTCTGGGCTATAAAATTGCCCCCATTGAGAATAACTAAGTTGAACTCTTCCATTTCTCATTTTTATATTTTTAAAAACTTTTCAGCCTTTAAGCCAATACATTCTGAAATTATTGAACCTTACCTTTTAATATTATTTAGCACAGAGTTTACTAATATACATAACAGTCTCATAAGACTTTAAAAAATAGTTTTGTAAAATTCTTTCAACATAGGTGATGCAAAGGTAGAACCCAAAGATTAAAAGTCTTGTTTTAACTGGATGTGGTGGCACACAACTGTAATCCCAGTGGCTCAGGAGGCTGAAGCAGGAGGAATAAGAGTTCAAAACTAGCTTCAGCAAAAGTGAGTGTTAAGCCACTCAGTGAGACCCTGTCTCTAAATAAAATACAAAAAAGGGTTGGGGATGTGGCTCAGTGGTTAATTGCTCCTGAGTTCAATCCCCCAGATGCAAAAAAAAAAAAAAAAAGAAAAAGAAAAAAAAAAAAAAGAAAAGGAAAAAACGTCCCGGCTAAATTTAGGAAACAGATTATTGATGGAGATTCAAATAGGTAAATAGCCTTGGTGGTGATATCAGTTCAAAATATGAGAATGCATAAAGTGATTGAAAAAACCATAACTGCAAAACAGCAGGATGCAGAGTCCTCACTTGAGAAGACACACCTAGTTAGATAATGCAGAAGGGAAATGGATCTGAGGAGACCATGAGGAAAAGTTAAAGAGGAAGAAACATGTCATATAAAAGATGCTAGTAAATACTGCTACAATACAGAAGAAACAATAAAGATGGTAATACAAACTCACAAATAGTACTTACTATATGATGGAAACTAAAACAGGAGTACTCACACCTGTGAATTCACAGCATCCCTTGTGTAAGTGGCATCTGCTCCATAGATGAGAAAAGTATATCCATGTCTCTGTATCCATATACGTCTCTCTGCCTTCCTTCTTTCCAGTAAAGCTTAGATTGGTAATGGGTACCAATCTTCGTGGTCTGAATCCAGCTCTAGAACCTACTGGCTTTGTATCTGTGGATAAATCATGTAAACCTTCTTAGTTTCCATTTCTTCATCTATTGAATGGGGATGATTGTAGGAAATAAATAAGCGAAGGCACTTAAAGTACCTATAATATACTAAGAGTATGTATCACTATGATTATATATGTTGGCTATATTTAAAACATGTTTCTGTTTTATTAAATGGTGTTTAAATGTATTAGAATAGCCTCTTTCAAACCATTTTAGAATATTACAAAATAGTAAGGATACAAATAAAGAAATAAAATGAGAGTGCCCTGAAATAAAATTAAAAATAGGTAGTGACCAGATAACCTTAATAAATGTTAAGTATGCAGGTTTAGCAAACAAAGTGTGTAGTATGTTGAGTTAAGAAAAATATATAGCTCAGCCAATATTTGAATATCTTTAATGATTTGGCTACACACTAACTGCTAAATAATGAGGAATAGCTCAGCCAATATTTGAATATCTTTAATGATTTGGCTACACACTAACTGCTAAATAATGAGGAATAGAGGTAACCAGTGGTTAAACCATATCCTTTGCACTGTTCGCAAAAGGAGAAAAGAATGGTATTTTTTAAAGGTAATAGTTTATTTCAATGTATTTAAACTGTTTTCTTCCTGAAAGACATCATGGTAGACTATATATGATATTCTAAAGCTGAATAAGACTCAGTGCAGATTTTCTCCTCTCAAAGGGTTTATAATATTTGGGGGGTAATCCAATTCCTTCAAGCTGAGGATTTTCAGAATGAGGGATAACAACGTTCATGAAAAGACAGT